AGTGTGGATACCACTAATTTTATGTTCAGTGACCAAAATCTATCTTCACTTGATGTCGCAGTAAAATATGTTTTTCATAAGATTTGTAGCCTTGATAATAGTGAAAGGGCGGGGCTGATTCATTCATCCCTGTATTTTTGTCCAAATGTAAATGTATTCTTTTGTCTATATTACATATTCTGTTTACGAGGTCATTAACTGAGGGTGTTTTTCCATTGGAATGGAGTCATGCTTTTATCGCACCGATTCATGTCTGGCCCCAGAAATGTAGTAACTAATTACAGACCAATCTCTATTTTTAGTGCTAAACCTAAGCTCTTCGATATGATTGTAACAAATATTTAGGCCAAAATTTTATATCTGCAAATCAGCAAGGGTTTATGCCTGGCCGAAAAATTGATTGTAACTTTATCATCTGTAGCCAATATATTAAGGATCCTTTAGAGAAGAATATCCAAGTTGATAGCATTGGCATAGAATTCAACAAGGCATTTGACTTGGTCAGTCACAGTCTACTCATTATTAAAATTAAATCATTTGGATTATCAGATCCTTATTAAAATTCCAGTGTCTTCAGGGCTTCCGCAAGGTGTTCATTTGGGCCCCTTGCTCTTTCTAGTCTTTATTAATGACCTATGCTTAGTCCTCATTAAGGTACAATTTTTGCTTTTTGCAGATGACTTTAAACTATTTCAATGCATTGAATTAGCTAATGATACTATTGAACTTTAATAGAGTCTTTCTGGTCTTCAAACGTGGTGTTGGTTAAATGATTTTAAGCTTACTAAATGTAAGTTCTTTACCTTTTCTTAAAGTTGTAATATCTTCAAAGACACCTATTTGATAAATGGGACAAATCTTGAATGTGTCAATCGATTAAAAAACAATATCATTTTTGATATTAAGATGGATTTTAACAAAACACATTGAAATGATCATCAATAAATTTTTACAATAGCTTGGATTTATTAAAAATAGTCTTAAAGAATTTAAAAGTATTTTCACCCTGAAAATTATATTTTTTCATGTTTATATTTCACATACTCTTTGCCTGTGCGTTTTGTCTTCTCATTTCAAATTGCACATCAATTGACTTGAAAGAGTTCAAAACAAATTCTTTAGGATCCTTGCACCCAGACCGGGTCTTCCCAATCCATTTAATATATAGTTACTCAGGAATTTCATTGGTTTCAAACATTCCAACATTTAAATCCTAAATCCTTAATCCATTAATAATTACTTTGTGTTCCTATACAAACATACATGGCTCTATAAATAGGCTGTTGTTAATTTTGCAACTGAGGATTCGAGGTTTAGTAGAGTCCCGTAGGTCATTAGGCATTTTAGTACAGTTGCAACAAAAAACTTTACCAGAAACTTAACATCAAACCATTTGATTTCAAGATCCTTTAAACTCGTCAACCATGAAATTATTGACATAATAGATGTGAATGGGTTCTCATAGAGTTTAAAATATGCAGTTCTTTCATACATATATTTTTATTTAAACAGCTTTTCAGTTGCAAATTTTACTACAATCTCTAATAAGCGGGTTGCTTCATTTCGCAATGCTTACTTTAATGCTATTTTGTTTAATGCTTCATTGTTGTTTTATAACTTGCATTTGAAGTTTCTTTCAAAATGATTGACTTACATTGAAATTTATTAGAATCTCTAGCACCTAAAATTTAGGGAGCATTGAAAGAACCCTTAATTTTTAGTTTAAGCTACAATTTTTTTCTGATTTTTTAAGTTAACACAATGCATTTGTTATACTGAAAGTGCCAAAAAAAATTAAACTAATGAATGTACTCAAACTTAGTATTAGGGAAATGCTTCAATTGCATTTCTTTATACTGTTGTCAATTGTATTGCAATTGCATTGTTTCTTTATACTGATATCAAGAATGAACATTAGCTTTATATATTTATAAATGACATTTATAGACTTTTGTATGTAGTTAATTTGTATTAGAGTTGTTCACTGTCAAAACTGTTTTGGTGTCTGATTTAGAAGTTGACATAATAGTTATGTTGACTAACTCGATTATCTAGATTATACTATTTAGATTTGATTTTTTTTAAAAGCTATCTGATTCAAGATGACATGAAATAATTTGGCTTTGTTGAAGTATGGTTGCTGAACTTTGTATTAATATACAGTAGCTAAAAAATTGAAATTGTCTCTGTGAATTGAATATTACATTCTGAATGTCAGTACAAAAAGTTTGGTTTGGAAGGATCACCACGTTCAGTGGTTCAAGCGTTCTTTCTTATCGCAATACTAAGTGGAAGATTTGTGAAACAATTTTCATGCAGAATAATAATTTATTGTGACAAGAATACTCTTCGAATCAAATCGAGTATGAAGATCAGGAAATACATAGTTTTGATTTGATGCATAAATTTAATATACACGTCATGGCGAAATACTAAAATATGGCTGATGTTACGAGTGCCCGGTTGAATTGCACGTAAGTCAGACGGCGTGGAGAAAGCTCGATGAATGACGATGGATAAACCCGTATAAATGATTCACTTCCTTTATTAGTATATCATAGGGGAAAGATCACTCGTTCCTCAGTTGGAATCTTGCAGGTGAAATTTTGCAAGGTGTAGCGTGACCTGAAACAATTGGACCCAAGAATACGACCGTCACTTCTCTCCCAGGGCTAGTCGGCGTTTCGTGTGCGAGATGCAGATAAAAGGAGAGCTGGAACACCTCAATCAAAGAAGCAGAGCGCGAAGCGAGGTCGCCGGCGAAGAGGGCTGCGAAGCCGGCGGCAGCGCGACATTCGCAACTTTCGTTTTCGTCGATTGCGCGTCTTCCCGGAGGCGCCCTCCGACCGCGGGACATTGCGTGCGTGCACTCCACTGCGCCGCCTTTGTGCTCGACGGCACGCGTCATCGCCCGCCGCGCCTGCTGTGCCGGGCCGGGCCTGGCCTGGCCCCCCGCAGTCGAATGCAAGCGGCAGGGAGAGATCAGTTCGGCGCGCCACGTCTTCTCGCGCCCGCCCCGCCCCGCTCCGCTCGGTGTCGGCTCGGGGACCCGCCGGGGACTGCCGCTGCGAGACCAGATTCAGTTCTCCCCGACCCCCAGGTCACCCGCGACGGCACACTTCCTCATTTCTTCAGCGGGGCGGGACAAGTAGTTTACGTAATGTGACAGGCCGCGCCGCTCGAAGAAGGAAGTGGTGGCTGGTCTCCCTCTCTCTCCGCTGCAGTTACGGGATTTGTCCGCGGAGGGCACCAACGTCGCAGTGTCCTGCGGAAGGAGCGCTTCAATCCGGCACCTCACGACTGCAGCGCGGGCGGATATTCAATTCCTACGCCGCCGGAGGGAACCGTGATTTGTAATGGCAAGAGCGGGCGCTGCTGTTCTGTTTTGCGCAGTCGCTTTTCTGTGCTGTCGTGAAATTGCCTCTCAACACCTGGCCTTCGGAAGATGCCCGACCTACAGTGGAATGGAAAACTTCAATGTGACAATGGTAAGTGTAACATGTTTTGCAATAAATTACTTCCGTTCCGTACGTAAATCTATTTGCTTAAGAAATCAAGATTAGGGTTACCACGGTTTTAAACACTTCAGAAATAACGAGATGACGTCGTAACTTGTCTTTCAAATATGAAATATAAAAAGTGACTTTTCTTAGGCTGTCAAGATTCGTTGAACGATGATATAAAAGAACTTTGAACATTCATGTCTATCTGAAATTTTGTCATCTCTTTTTCATATTTCGCGTATCAATTTGAACGAAATTAATTCAATGAAAAAGCTTCATATACTTTACCATATTTTGTTTAGTGCACTTTCCACTAACTGACATGACCAGTTTTTTGTCTTAGATAATGAAACATTCGTGTTGCAGTAGTCAATCTCCATTATCAAATGAGTGTTGAAATTGTAGTGTGCCCGCTTATCAAAACGGTTGAACTCGCTTGACGTTTGAGTTCGCGTCAGCGAATATCCCTAATCTCTAAACATTTACAGAAACAAGCGTCTTCCGACGTGAACTCGAGCAACTTGTAATGAACTCTTCCTCGCATCTGCAGTTCCTGTTGGCGTCGAGTGCTCATTGCAGTTGAATTACCCGCTGCATTGGGTACGCATGCGCGTGACGCCTTCTTCCAGCACGTAGTTGGGGCGTGAAATAAAGTCCATCTATTTTATCTAGTTTTAACTTAAAAAGGAAGCCGCTACAGAGATTGCATCTTTTTGTCTTTATATTTTCTTCAGAAATATAATCCGTTATTGCGCTTGGGACAAGGTCACGACTTGTTCGTCTTGCCCCCTCGATAATCTCATTTCTCTAGTGTGTTTTATTTTTTGTTTTTGTATGTAAACAGCATCGTAAGGTCGCGTGTTTGTATTCACGTTCATGTACACACACACACGCACTCTTGATGGTCGCGTTTATAGCTTAGTTCCTTGTTCAGGGTGGTGGGGTAACTATATTTTATGCTACCATCGAAGAGAAACTCACTGGCGTAGGTCGGAAATTGGATTCCACGTCGAGAAATGTTTGTGAAATCTACTGTTGCGCAACACGAATCGCAAGTGGAACATAGTGCCACATGGTATCATTTACTTATCCATTCTCGGAGATTAATAAAATTGGAATTAAAATTACTGAAACTTTGAATAATGTTTGCAGTCTCATCGTTTTATATTAATTGAATATAATGCTTTTTATAAGAATTGTGTATAGTGAACATACTTTCAGCGTTTTGATCGAAATAATCTTTCTTGGAGAATTGTATTTACAAAGCGAAATGAAATACCGATTTCTGTAGTTTATTAGGGTAGGTTCATTGACCATTTTATACTCGCTTTTACCTCGCGAGTGTTTTCAAATTTAAACTAGTTGGCCATACAATAACACCTCTCTTGTGGTTATTTTCGTGTTCCCCCTATTCTTATTATGTTCCATTTTATGAAAACATTAAAAATTGGTGAGTATAAGGAATTCTTAGAAAATTAGAAAGGACATTTTACAACAGTAAAATTTGTAGTTACCTGAAAATAACCAATCATGGACTCCGGATACGTAGATATAATTATTTTTTTATTAGCATTAACTTGAAAATATAAAGATGTTATAAAATCTTTGAAACACAGCCACAAGGCCAAGACATTTCAAGCGCTTTATTTTAGAAACATACCTCGCTCATTGCGTTTTTTCCAAATACTAACCAAATTAATGGTGCTACAAAATGGTACATTCTTCCTCGTACTAGTTGGCTCCCCAGTGTTTTGAGTCGATATAACTTTTCGATTTTCCCCACCCTCTTCTCTGCTGCCATCTATCGACGCGTATTGTACC